ATTTGGATAAAACAAACAGAAGAGTCTGAATGAATAAAGTCTTTATTAGATTTAAACATTTGAATCTACCCACAGTCGGCGCTGAACCAGACATGGGGACCAGTCATACATTGTGAGGACATTTGGTAAAGTGCACACATTTTTAGAATCCAAGAATAATTTTAAAAAGTATGGAAAGTCTCCAAAGCTAAGGGTATTTAGGAAAAATAATATGTTTGTGTGGAAATAAAGATATTATTGTCACAACCTCACGTTTTCAAAGTGCTGTTTCTGGGATTAGACTTAACTACAGGTTTAATGTGAGAACCAGGTTTGGATTTGGAGTGTGTGTGTGTGTGTGTGTGTGTGTGTGTACCCGTGCGTCGTCTTTGCTTTTCTTGCAGTTGAACCTTTAGATGTTCGATGTCGTTCTTTAGTTTGGCGTTTTCCACCAGCAGCTTCTTCTGCTCTCTGACCGAGGCCTGCAGGACTAAAACATCATTCTAATTACGAAGACTCCATGTCATCCACATGGGGTGCACTCCCTGCACCTGATCTGTGTTTAAATAATTGGAAGCAAATGCTTGGTGACAATATCACAGTGTTTCATATGGTTCACATTTATTTATTTGGTGTAACTAGGCCACTAAGATGTCATCCACTGTGGCTGTTGATTAATTACTTACATGCTTTCTCTCTTATCAGCAGGGCATGAGTTTTGAAATACTCCATGATCTGCTCACCGTCCTCCGGGTCGAGCTTGACGAGAGCTGCCGCCAGGCTGCATGGACAGACAGACAGAGGAAAACAGGACAGGTGGAGACATAAAGTCGCTAAGTAGAAATAATATAAAAATGAACATTTTAGCCAAATTCATTCCCAAAATAACACTCATGGTCCTCATCCAAGTTAATTTAATGACTTAGTTTTTAATTAAATCTAGGCTGGTTTGAGACATAATGCAGTCCCTAACCCTATCATTAACCATCAGAACTAAACGTCTAACCCTAACATAAAGCTAACTCAGTCCCTAACCCTATCATTAACCATCAGAACTAAACGTCTAACCCTAACATAAAGCTAACTCAGTCCCTAACCCTATCATTAACCATCAGAACTAAACGTCTAACCCTAACATAAAGCTAACTCAGTCCCTAAATAACAATCATGGTCCTCATCCAAGGTAATTTAATGACTTAGTTTTTAATTAAATCGAGGCTGGTTTGAGACATCATTAACCATCAGAACTAAACGTCTAACCCTAACATAAAGCTAACTCAGTCCCTAACCCTATCATTAACCATCAGAACTAAACGTCTAACCCTAACATAAAGCTAACTCAGTCCCTAACCCTATCATTAACCATCAGAACTAAACGTCTAACCCTAACATAAAGCTAACTCAGTCCCTAACCCTATCATTAACCATCAGAACTAAACGTCTAACCCTAACATAAAGCTAACTCAGTCCCTAACCCTATCATTAACCATCAGAACTAAACGTCTAACCCTAACATAAAGCTAACTCAGTCCCTAACCCTATCATTAACCATCAGAACTAAACGTCTAACCCTAACATAAAGCTAACTCAGTCCCTAACCCTATCATTAACCATCAGAACTAAACGTCTAACCCTAACATAAAGCTAACTCAGTCCCTAACCCTATCATTAACCATCAGAACTAAACGTCTAACCCTAACATAAAGCTAACTCAGTCCCTAACCCTATCATTAACCATCAGAACTAAACGTCTAACCCTAACATAAAGCTAACTCAGTCCCTAACCCTATCATTAACCATCAGAACTAAACGTCTAACCCTAACATAAAGCTAACTCAGTCCCTAACCCTATCATTAACCATCATAAACATCTAACCCTAACATAAAGCTAACTCGAACCTGAACCCTAAGACCAGGTCTCAACAGGGTGTTTCACAAAGTGAGGACCAGACAGAATGTCCTCACTCTGTAGCTGTACCTTTTTGGTTCTCACTATATAGCAAGGACAAGAACACACACACACACACACACACACACACGCCTGAGCAGCAGCTGCTGCTAAACTGAAATACAGAAACAGCTGCAGTCAGGCCCGCGGCTATAAATAACAGGACCTGGTCCAACGCACATGAAGGCACTGCTCCTTAAACATAGTGACACCATATAAAATGACAAAGGATGAGTGATAGGCAAATGAAACGTCGTCGATTAAAGAGAAAATAGCACCTTTATTATACCACATATATATATTTAGGTGTTTCTATTGTAACCCTGGCCGTTATACCTGCTGTCACCCAGCTCTTATAACACAAGCTTTAATCGTTGTTGACCACCTTCTTTATGATTAATGTGCAGCTTTGTCTGCCTAAGAAAGTTAATTCAATAAAAAATCAATCTTTTATATTTTCCCATCAAAAATACAATCAAATAATGGAAACAATCTACAACATTGTGACAAGAACTGAAGCATTTCCACACAGAAAGGACACATGTCTGATTAAGATGAAAGAAAATCATTAATGAATTAATGTAATGTAATGAACTTTGGTGAAAATCGCAACAGTTTCAGACAATTTTGGTTTAAAAACACACCGAACACCCTCTGCAAGCCTTCTTGTGTCCATCTTATTTAAAACTTTGTTTAAACAGCATGCCTCATATTTGCCAGTGCAAAGACAAGTGACAAAGACAGAAATACAGGTTTTCATACCTGGGGTGAAAGGGGCTTTCACTGTTGTCCATGTTGGAGGACGTTGTCGTCAGCCCATCAGAGACAGAAAGCTCTGAGCCCGTGTTCAGCTGAGACCAACTCTATCAGCTGTCAGTTTCCATCTCCAGCTGGAGTCAACACAGCCTGCAGTTGGAGGTGAAACGCCTTCCTGTATGATCCCACAACTAGGCTCTGTCATCTGGAAACTTAATGACCGGACGAACCAACCAGCAGATCCACAGAGACTCAGCTGATTCTCATGTTTGACAAAGAAAAGCATCAGCTCCTCACATTAAAGAAGGTGGAACCAGAACATGTTGCTTCTAAATAGCTGAGGTTCATTTTCTACCAGTGAACTGACTCATGGCTGCAGCTCTAGGTCACTGAATGGCTTCATGAGGACGACACAGAGGGTTGGACACAGCGGGGTGGACACAGTGGACTGGGCACTGTGTTGGACACAGCGGGGTGGACACAGTGGGGTAAACACAGAGGGTCGGACACAGTGAGGGGATCTAGTTTGGAACAGAGGAGACACGGTGTTGACAAAGCTCTGCTGGGACTGGGTGCTAGTCTGTCCTTTCAGTTGTCAGCTATACAAACACACTGTCTGCTGCATCAGTGTGTTTGGGCTGTAAATAATCAGCCCCTTCTGGTGAGAGAAACCAGTACTACAACATCCACCCACCAAGCTCTTCTTAAACTCCACTGTATTTTACCTGAAACTCCTTTTTTGATGAGTGTGTTATTAACTCCTTCTCCTACTTGATGCTCCGTCTCTTATAACCTTTCTGATTATACCTGTGACTGGTCTGTGACACCAAAAGACAGCGATGAATACAGCACATGTCTTTAAACATGTTAGAAACAACTCAGTTCGTCAGTCTGCATCAGGATACATGTGAATTCCTCCTCTGGTGAAACAACCACTTTAGATTTTTAGATGGCTTTTTTAAATAACTGTTAAAATAATATCAGTGGGAATAAAATAATAATGAATCAGATATATAATTTACATCCTCACTAAGAAATGTTTACTTGTTTAATTGTTTTTAAACAGTGTTGACTGAAATTCGGCTGATGTCCTGATGAACCAGATGCTGTTTTGATAATTAGCTAAAACCAGATGTCAATGTACTTGGTTCCTTTTCACAACGAATCATTTCACTTGGCGGAAACTCCCGAGTACAGCCGATCTCAGGTGAGTCATCTCCGGAGATGAGTCCGGAGACGGAGTCGGGATTATTGGCGGAAGCTGCCGCACCATATTTGGAATCTGACCAATGACAGGCGGGAGGCGCGGGAACGGGCGGGGCTTCTGTGGCAACATACGGGCTCGCGCTCCTCAGCTGATGCCAAGAACGCGCACACAGGTAGAGAAGGAAAGAGGAGGAGAAGAGTTTGGAGATTAAAACCGTTGAAGTTTGAATGGAGGATGTGAGATCTCACCACTGAAACGGTGAGTGTGTTGTTGTTTAGCTCTACATGACAAAACATCCAGTGTGTTGAGCTGGTTTAGGTTGAAAAAGAGCAAAAGTGTGATGTCCACCGGTCGTTGGACAGGTGTGTGTCTAAGTCCTGTTCCTGCCGACGTGGACCCACCCCTGGGAAGTGGCTGGTTTTGCCTTAAGCACAGTCCTCGTGACGGTCACGGTAAACGAAGTGTGGCTAAATGATTTAAAAATTATTTCTTGATCTTCAGTGAATCTCATGGCAGTTGGTTGGAGGCTACTAGTCAATTAGGTGAAAATAGGTGGTCAAACAGCGACAGACTGTTTAATATGAAGAGTTGTGTTACGTAGCCTACTTTCCTTTCTTTCATACAATATTTAAATTAGATGACACATTTGTGTTGTCTTTGTTAGGAGCCAAAAGTTTTGTCCAGTCAATTTGATTGGTCCATTAACAAAAGAATAGCGTCATTAACTTGTCAGTAAGACAGGTTGCATACTTTCCTCTGTTAGCCTACATATAAATTTAATTTTTTTAATTTTTTGTTTCCCTTTTAATGCCAAAAAAATCAACTAGTTAATTGCGGTGACAGATCGACGACTTTAGTCTTTGGCATTGAAAACAAAGCTGAAACTGAAAAAGCAAACATGAGACTTGAAGCTATTGAAAAACCCCAGTGGCATTTTAAAAACTATTAATATTGGAAACATGAGAATTGTCCGGGTTGTTAATGTAAATCTTTTGAGATGCCAAAGTTGTTTTTCAGTGACAACCTTTAGATTTTTTGTCAGTGTTTTTGAAATTGGTTTCTTTTAATTTTACTTTTCTGTCACTGTTTTGGCGCGGAGGGGTGGGGCTAAGGGGTTTTTTTAACGATTTTACCGGAAACGCTCCAAGTAGAGTTTTGAGAAAAGCCGTGTGTGAATACAAGAAAACCTGAAATGATTCGTTGACTTAAAGGACCATGAATTAATATGTCTGATAGGAAGTTGCTGGTTTTCTCTGTTTTGTATCAAATATTTAATAGTTGAGAATAATTTGCAGAGTAATCAGTGTCAAATAATTTTAATTTATTTATTTTTTTGATGAATTGATTAGTTGTTGGGTCAGTAATATCTCAGGAAACTGAAACATGTTTACCAAAAGTGAGGTGATGTCTTCAGACAGTCCGACACACCAAAATATTTACGATCATAGAAGACTGTGGAACCCGGCAATTATTCACATTTGAGAAACTGAAACCAGAGAATTTCTATGTATTTTTCTGAAATGATTCAAATTCATCGGGGTTTACTGACCAGAGGCTATTGCTTCTGCTCCGCCTGCAGGTTTCCAGGTTGTGTGTTTTGGTCAGTGTTTCTGTGTAAGTGACCCCATGGGTTGCAGGTTGTTTCCATGATGACCAAAGTACTTATAAAGCTGCCTTGTGTGTAAATAACCTGCTCAAAACTGCACAAGACCTCTACAAATGATATGCAGCAAATAAGAAAACAATGCTTGCAGAGAGACAGAAGCACTTGAACTTGAGGTTTATTTGACTTTTTAAGCCTTTTGACTTGTGATGGTGCAGGGAGCTTGAACCTCACACACCACAAACGTGGGCGTTTCAGCACACTTACATGCACTTCGGTGTGAAGTGCCGTGAGAGGCAGCAGTGACAGGAGGTATTTAGCAGGAGAGAGAGACACGACTCACTGCTTAACCCCATCAGCAGCAGTTTCCACGTATCAATACTGTCTTTGTCTGCAGAGAACGTGTTGCATTTCCCCTGTGAAGATGCACAGACGCTCCCACCAACTCTGGTTCACAAAGTTTTAGAAATGTACATTGAATCATACATCTGGTGTTACTTATTTTATAGTCAAGAAATCCCATTAAAACACTTCACTTCCTGTTTATAGCTCTCAGCTCAAAGTCTACTGATTCCTACTGAAGGTGTAAATCATTACAAACCCCTCACATATATGGTTTTATTTTGAAAAAGGACCAGTAGTTTCTTAAAACAGCTGCTCACCACAGTCTTTAATCAAAGAAACCGGAGTAAACGTGCATTTGTTGGGAACTATTTTCAGTGGTGGATGACCAAACAATAGAATCAGACTTTACTGATCACCACTGGGAAATTCACAAGCTACCCAGCAGTGTGTAAAGTACTTCACATTGTGAGTACATGAGGTCGTTGCCATTAGCTCCACCTTTACCAGCTGCAACATTAAAGTGATGAACACTTGAATGTGGCCTTCACCGTCACCGAGGTCAACGGGCTGATCCTGGTTGGACTCTGGCTCATCCAGTGGATCTCCCTCAAACACTACTACGTTCATCGGCCACTGCTGGTTTTTGTAGTGCCTGTAGTGGTCCTGAGCTAGTTTCTGTGGCCCTGAGTCTTTGTCTTCTGATACCAAATGTGATAGAACTGGATCCTCTCTCTCTCTCTCTCTCTTCAGAGCTGTCGTAATATATGTGTTGCTTTATAGTTTTGAGATATAGAATGAAGAGAAGGTAAAAAAACCATCAGTTTAGTACTGTTAAGTACTATTTTTAGCCAAATCCCAGCTGATAGCCACAGTAGGTTATTTGTCCTGTTTCCTATTGATGACGCTACTGCAGGTTGGTCTTAGGTCAGTGCTGTTGGACTTGTGTGCTCAGACGTCACGTGAGCCAGTACTGTTACGTCGACATGTGGGTATGTGTGAATCACAGGGAGTGCCTCTCTCGTGTTGCATAAAGTCAAACACTCAATGCATGTCACAGCATGTGTCTTTGTGAAGCTGCAGAGATAAGGACATTCCTGTGAGCTGCAGGGGAAAGGCAGGGTGCAGGTATGTAGCTATGTAGCTCAGGATTTCACTAGGAATTCAGTTTGGTTCAGTAATGGAGACTCACTACAAAGACATGCTGCTGCCCCTGAATAGACATCACACTAAACAAGCTGTAATTGTCTGAGGCTGGGGAAAGTTGATCAGCTGACACAAGTTTAATGAATGAAAAGTGAGTAACACAGGAAAACCATTGAGATTGTTTGTTCTTTTATACCAACTTTGTACACTTTGTAATTTCAGGAAAATTTCATTATGAGTTCTTGGCTTTCTAAATTCTGACACGAGTAAAGTTACATCAAGAGTCAGAATAGTTCACGATGAAAACACCTGTTACATCTAGTGAGGTTAAGGTACAAGGTCAAAAGTTGGACTCGAGACTCGGCAGCGACCTTCTGGGATAAAACACCTTTTGCATTAATAATCTGGAAAAAAAAACAATGGAAATCATCCTTTCACTTTGTGACAGGCAGTAAACTGGACATAAAAATGTTGTTGTTTTTGTGGTTTCCCAGGTTTATGGTGAATGATCCTGACCAAGCAGGTTTGACCAATCAGCTGCCTGCCTTGTGGCCTCACCGGTGTTACTGCTTATATTGATCAGATCATTGATCTCTGTGTTGCCTGGACCCTGTGATCACTGCCTGACCAGACCAGAGAACTACATCACTGCCACTGGAGTATGAGCACTGACCTTTTCATTGCTGATACTGGATTATTGATCACGCATTAGCTGGGAAAAATCGGTCAGTACCAGCTAGAGGAATATTTGTAAATCTACAGTAAACCTCCAGAGGGAATCAATGCAGTAAACTTTCTTTTTCAGCTGACCCATAACAAGACTTTGATTGGCTGGCGAAGCAGGAAGGCTCTTTTCTTATTGATCAAGTGATCATATACATTTCTCAACAGGTGGATCAATGGCAGCATCACACCTGACCCAGAATGATGATGTTCACCTTCATGTTGAAGCTGTGGCCCCAACAAATGCACCTCCTAATCCTCTGAGGGTTGCTAATGGTACCCCAACCTGCCACGCTTCCTTGCCATCAACCCCCACCGATGCCCATGAAGGCAAGAATGAACACAAGCACAGCAAACTGAGGAGCCTGTTCAAACAGAACGAGCTGATCGACTCTCTAAGCAATGGGCTGAAGCGACACTGCAACTATGTCAAGATCACCGTGTCGGAAGAATGGGCAAACCACCTCCCGAAGGAGTGGTGGAAGACGGGCGTGGCCTTCCTCTATGCTCTGTTCAACCTTATCTTCACCACTGTCGTGATCACCATCGTCCATGAGAGGGTGCCGGACAAGTCTGTGAGCCCACCACTGCCTGACAAGTTCTTTGACTACATGGACCGAGTCCCCTGGGCATTCACTGTCACCGAGGTCAACGGGCTGATCCTGGTCGGACTCTGGCTCATCCAGTGGATATTCCTCAAACACAAGTACAATCATCAGCCACCGCTGGTTTTTGTAGGGCCTGTGGTAGTCCTGATCTAGTTTTTGGGGCCCTGATTTGAGTCTTTATCTTCCAATATCAGGTATGATAGTAATGGATCCTCTTCCTCTCCTTGCAGAGCCATCGTCGGTCGCCGCTGTTTCTTCCTGATTGGGACGCTGTACATGTATCGCTGCATCACCATGTACATCACCACACTGCCGGTGCCTGGGAACCATATGGTCTGCGCTCCGAAGGTACACGCACGTTTACATTTACTGTTCACGTACATGTTTACACACAGTTCATCAGCTCTAAACGTTATGTTATTTGTTCTTTGTGCAGCTCTACAACAACTCAACTGGGAAAATCGGGAGGATCCTAAGGCTGCTCTCAGGAGGAGGTAACACCCAGACAGTTCACGTTACAGAACAGAAACTGGCAATCCTGCTTTGTGAAGTCGACACAAGAGAAACAGAAAATGTTGATGCCATGAACTGAGAACACACTTTGGATGTTTTAACGATGTGTTCAGTACTGATAACAATATGGTGGTGTGTGTTGTTAGATGAAACAGATTGTGTTTGTTGACGTGTTATGTGTATCCACTTAACAGATTTCAATATCCAGTACACACACACTCACACACGTTGTTCCAAAAACATCTTGGTTACATCAGTCATCACATCACAGGGTCAGGCTCACAACATGTACCTACATGTTCAAAATCAAAACCTGATTTTATAGTTCACGTGTATCTGATTTGTGCATTCAGGTCCCTGATTTCATACAAACTTATAGACAAATGCAGATCATTCTACGGAGTTCTTCTACCGGTGAAGGTCATATAGACTGAAATGTGTATTTAATAAATTATTCAGCCTAAGTGAGACGGTGTGAGGGAGTTCTATGTTTTTGTCAGTTGCCTTTTCCCACCGACGCAACTGTCACAGTCAGGGGACTGTGCAGGGGACAAATCTGTCCATATAAAAGTCTTTCATGGTCACTGTCCACTCTGTTTTTGGTGCTGGCCCTTTTTCTGTCCTTCAACACTATTGGTGTGAAATTTAGTAAGTTGGTTCTAATTGTTTTCATCGGTGTGGACAGGATTATTACTGCAGACCAACTGGGGTTGGGGTTTATTTCTAACTCTGGTATATTCAGAGATATATTCAGTTCCTTCACTTTACCTCAGAACTCCTCCCCTGTCCCTTGGGGTAATAATATCTCTCTGTGTTTGGGTTCAGGTTTGTCTCTGACCGGCTCCCACCTTATGTGCGGAGACTTCCTGTACAGCGGACACACTGTCATGCTGACTTTGTCCTACCTGTTCATCAAGGAGTGTGAGTAAACCCAGTTTTCTTCACACATTTGCAGTTCTCTGATCAACTAAGAGCCTTTATTTCAAACTGAACCGATTCCCAGCGTTCAGACAGAGATCACATATTCACCAAATCTGTCAAAATGTGGATGGAAACGTAGTAACATTGCTTTTAAAACTAAATATTTTAGAGGGTCAACACAATGTAATAATAATTATGCCAAACAGGAAATAAAATACCAAATACTCACCTGTGTGATGTAGTGCTAGATGAACACCTGATCTGTTTATGTTTCTGTGTGTCCAGACTCTCCTCCCTGGATGTGGTGGTATCGCTGGGTCTGCTGGTTTCTCAGTGCCTCGGGGATCCTCTGCATCCTGATCGCCCACGAGCACTATAGCATCGATGTGGTGATCGCATACTTTGTCACCACCAGGATTTTCTGGTGGTACCACGCCATGGCCAACACACATGTAGGTGAACACGGATGCTGGTGTGACCTTGAACCGCCCTCTGTTGACAGTACTAGTTGCTAGCTGGCTCTGGGGGGGTGTGGTAACAGGTTAATGAAAATCATCATTAGTCAACATATTCCAGTGTGTCGTTTCATCCGAACAGAGGCCCAAAACCAAACCTATTCAGCATATGTACAAAAATCCCAGAAGTTCTTCTTGGGTATTAATGAAGTACTCTGTCTTTCTGGTCAAGTCAGTCACAGCTGAGAAGCTGGAACCAGTGAATTTTTGGCATTAATTACTGAAATGAATTGAGTATCTAAGTAGTTCTGTTGACCAGCTAATTACTTAATCATGTCAGCTTTAGTGCTTTCTCGTTATGAATTTTGTGTTTATTTCTGCCTAGGCACTGCATCAGGCTCCCAGCAACTACCTGTCGAGGACCTGGTGGAACCCAGTCTTCAACTTCCTGGAGAAAAATGTCCAGACGACGGTTCCCATAGTGTTTGAATGTCCGGTGGCCCTGCCTTCATCCTGCAGACAGAGATACAAAATGGTGGAGGGGGCGAGGGACGAGTGAGGACGGAGGAGGAGATAACAGACATGGGGTGATGGAGCAGCATACCACCTGCCTGACCCCTGGATGAAAGAACAGGTGGATTGAGATGGACAGAGGAGTTATTTATTAGAAGCCAGGATTTCCACTGCTCTCCTGATTCCTGAGTAATAGGAGGAGGCACCAAAGAGGTGTTATGTTTACATGATCATGATCACGATCACTTGGTATTTATTTAGTTCACCTTCCTCTTCAATTATGTCTGAAATGTTCAGACTAAATGAAGAGTGTTATCTGGGGAGGTTTGTGAGGTTGACTTCCAGCAGTGCTCGTTAAGAGAATGAGGGTTTGATTCTGCTCAGAAGTGAAGTAAGTGCCACGTAAAGCCAAAAGTCATTCAAAAATGAGTTTTACTTCACTGTCCCATGATATTTTCTCTCAAGCCTTTATCATATCTCTAAAACCAGCTTAAAGCATCTCTTCTCCGTGTTACTTTATTTTCTTGGACAATACGTCACACAGTAACTCATTTAAACTTTTTTGGGGACTGTCGACCAAAGCTATGATGATTAAGGCAGCAACTAATGATTGTTTCCATTATAGATTCATTTGACGTCATCTTGAGATGTTTTTTCAACTGAAGTCAGAAAATATTTAGTTTATATTAGACAAAAGTAGGAACATTGGACTAGTATTAGTTGACATATGACTGAAATGATTGTTTAAAATTATTTTTCTGGTGATGAACTAATTGTTGCAACTCCAATTTCAGTCCAGCCAAAAACGATTTTGTGTTCTGACATGTCAGATAATGATTGTAAAGGGCTAACAGCTACGCAACCAATGCTGTTGGCTAACTGGGTGATAGTGCAAATTAAGAACAGCTAGTTACTGAAAATTTATCAGTTTGTCATTATTGTGTGGTTTTTCTTGTGATTATTGAGGTTTCGTTGCTCAGTTGTATATACAGGGACACAAAACAGATTTTGAAATCATGAATATATTTACAGGACAGATGATGGTACAGAAGAGGAACCTTACCCCAAACTAGTACATGTTTTGTTGTTGACATGCCAAGCAAGAAAATAACTTTTGTACAATGAGTGATATCAAGTGAAAGTTTGTGTGATTGAAATGGGTGCAGTTAGCCACATGCCAGCATTGACCTGATCAATTTGGATGAGTAGTGCCAAAAATCTAAATGAAAAGATTAAGCAGGCAGAAAAAGCAAACGAAGCTTTCAGCAAGAAAACATTACATTAAATGTTTAAACTGTTTATTTCTGACTGTTTGGTGCATTAACGTGCATGACATTTAGGACCAAAGCTAAACTGCTAGTGACCTTATGATTGTTTATGTATTTGAATTTGCGCAGCTAGCCACATGCTAGCTCTTTATCCGTTATTGTTTTGATACGTAATGTCATTGAAAGTAAAAAATATTATGTTTAGCATATGTGAAAGAGAAACGTATCATCCTAAAAATTTAAAATGTTGGGATTATTTGTTGCTGTCTGGGTTTGGAAGCTAGCCAGAGCTAGAGCCGGACCAAAGCTAACTAAGATAGCAACTTAACATTCCCAGTTCAGTGGGTTGAAGTGAATGAAGTTTACTGTATGCGACTTCCTGTACTTGATTATTGTTTATTTAGAATATAATTCATGTGAAATTCCATGAAGTATTGAGACACTGAGTTCTGAGTGGTCCGTTTTTTAAATTTTCATTTTGTGCCATTATTGTACAATTAATCATTAAATAATAACATCTTGTATAGTTTTGATGCACCGACACTCCCAGAAAAAGGCTAACGTAAAAGATGTAGCTTGTGCTTTTCATGTTTTTTTTTTATTTTGGATAAGAAAAGGTTTCTGCAGGGTTTGTCAAATAAATTAAATTCAAGCCTTTTGAAGGCCTTGTTAATACCACATAAGATGTAATTTGATACATTATTTTTACCAGTTCAAGAAAGAAAACCCGTACAGATGATAAGACCTACACTACAACAAACCAGAAACCTGTCACAGACCCTGTCCTTTCATATGGGTCACACTGAAAAGTGGGTTTTGTTGTGGTTCACAACATCAGCCCCATTTTTATTCCACGTTTGTTTACGATTCAGGAGATTATTCCCATTAAATGTAGCCGAATTAGCAATGTCTCCATGGATTTCGTTTTGCTAACGATTACCTTAAAATACAGAATTTGAGCGGAACGTTTAGTTTGGATGTTTCCAATCGGATAATA